AAGTTAAACAAATTACCCTATTCACCTGGGGTGTCTCGCCTTAAAACATCTCCAGTATCAGCAATACAGGTGGAAATGGGAGAAATGCCTTTAAGGAAAAGAACAGTGAAGTTAATGTTGGCATACTGGGTAAACCTTCAGGGGCATAGTGATAGTCATCCTGCGAAAAGTATTTTTGAAAGACTGCTGGGAGCACAATGAGTCACATTTAACAAGTTTTGGATGGATTGGCGATGTTAAAGCAGCAAGTATAGGTTTGAATCAAATACAGTATTGCCCCACAGCTCCAATCTCGTCCATTCCACCCTAGTTGTTCCCATTGCCAAGTGCAGACCTCAATATACGAGAGGAGTTAAAGGAAAATAAAGAACTACCAGTATGGCGCATAGTCCAGAATTATTTTGAAGATATCACTCAGACTCAACAATCATATTTACAGATGGCTCCAAAGATCCAGAGACAGGGCGTGCAGGGGCAGCAGTGTATATCCCAGTGAGTAATACACATATAAAGAAAAGGGTAACAGACCATGTGTCAGTATACACCATAGAGTTGTTGGCATTGGTACTGTCATTGAAATGGATAGAAGAGAAATAAATACATAATAGTATAATTGCATCTGACAGCTTTTCAGCATTATCGAGTATACGATCAGGCAGATCTTCATCTAGAATGGACATCATAAATGAAATATTTCTAATTTTATATAAAATGCAAATCAAAGGCAGAGCAACTCGTTTCATCTGGGTTCCTGCTCATGTTGGTGTGGAGGGAAATGAACAGGTGGATATTCTGGCCAAACAAACCCTCAGAAGTATGAACATAGACATAGAAGTTCCACTCAGCAAAGCGGAGGTTCAAACATTCATTCAGAAATATGCACAAACAACATGGCAAGAACATTGGGACCTTAGTGATACAGGAAGACATCTTTATAAAATGCAAAGGTATGTGGGGGATGGAAGGAAGGTGGGGTTTAAAAGAAGGGAGGAAAATGTAATTTCTCGAATGAGAATAGGTCATACAGGTCTGAATCATACTTTAAGTATAATACAGGTCTCAATCATACTTTAAGTATAATACAGGTCTCAATCATACATTAAGTATAATACAGGTAGTATCATACAGGTCTCAATCATACTTTAAGTATAATACAGGTCTCAATCATACATTAAGTATAATACAGGTAGTATCATACAGGTCTCAATCATACTTTAAGTATAATACAGGTCTCAATCATACTTTAAGTATAATACAGGTCTCAATCATACTTTAAGTATAATAGGAAAGCATCCAACCGGAAAGTGTATACACTGCAGCCAGCCAGAAACTGTTGAGCATGTTTTACTGCTTTGCAGGAAATATAGTACTCAGAGAAATGTGCTTTTCCACACACTGAAGAAAGCAACATTCCATGACTTGTCGCTATCAGGGCTGTTAGGGAAAACATCAGGCAATATATATTGTGAGATTATTACGTTTCTAAGAGAAATTGATCAATTTAAAAATAATCTAGAGTTTTGGTTCTTTGTTTTTTTTGTTAATTGTTTTCTGCATAGTCTCTTGTCCACACTCCAGTCCAGTTGGTGGCGGTAATGCACCTACAAGTTGGTTTGCCAACCGCCAATATACACTGAAGAAGAAGAAGAAGAAGAAGAAGAAGAAGAAGCTGGATCCACGTGGCGTCTCGTCTCTACGGTTCTCTCTCTGTGTTCCTGAGAAAGTGTGTGTAAGCTCCAGCTCTACTGATCCATCATCTGTGTGTCTGGATAAACCTCCGAATGGACTGTGTGCTCTTTTTTTCTGGAGCGTTTACCTCGGACTACAGGAGCTAGCTTAGCATGCTAGCTGGAAACACGTTAGTCAGATTGAGAGTTTGATGCAGAGAGAAACGGTGTGTTTAACGGAGTCTGCAGGAAAAGGTGATCTAGGAAACATGAGTAAAGTCCAAATGCTGCTGTCGTTGAAGAAGCAGCGACTCACTGCTGCTAATGAAGAGATATTTGCTCTGTTTGAACAAACAATAGCAGAGCTCGAGGAGGAGCTGTTTCTTTCCAAAGAGGAGAACAAGAGACTCCAGAAGCTACTGGACGCTGTTTTACAGCCTCAGCTTCGGATACACAGAGCAGGTCTGTTCCCTTTACCCTTAATTAACACTTTACACTCTTCAGTAGCACTTTATTATCACATTAATAACACTTTAGACCCTTTATCAGCACTTCCTGCAGGTAGTAGATCCTGAAGTAAAAGTACAAACACCACACTGTGAAAATACTCCATTACAAGTTAAAGTACTGCATTCATATCTTATTTAAGTAAAAGTATGTAAGTATTATTAGACACATGTACTTTATTATAATAATTAAAATGTATTACGGAAGAGCAAACCTACCAAAATAAATATATTTATAAAAATACATACATTGAATAATATGCCAGTTAATGACTGCGGTCAACTCAGCGGTCTCTCGCATTTGTTTGGTCAAATGAACAGCTCTTCATTTTTGAGTGCGCGATTAATAGCGTCTTTACGGTAATCGCAGAGAAGCGGCGCTGATGACAAGAGCTGATGTTATTTGATCAATCAATCAATGATATTTGATGAGGGATACAATTATTTTTAGCCATAAGTTCTTAATACATTTGGTACTGTTGGACTCAGTACTTGTTAGACTACTACCACAAATACAATTAAGTACTTTTACTGTGTAGAGAACAATAATGCATGTTTTCTGCCATCTTTGATGAGATACAATTATTTGTTGCCATAAGTTCTCAGTGAAAGTGGTACTGTTGGACAGAGTACTACTTGGAGTACGACCACAAGTACAATCAAGTACTTTTATCGTGTACTTTTTGAGTAATACCCTGTCAAACTCCCCTCCAGAGTACAATAATGTATGTTTTCTGCCATCTTTGATGAGAGATACAATGATTGTTTGCCATAAGTTCTCAGTGAAAGTGGTACTGCTGGACAGAGTACTACTTGGACTACTGCCACAAGTACAATCAAGTACCTTTTATTGTAGGGATGCACGACATTGGGTTTTTGAAACCGATACCGATAACTTCCTGCTTTTCAAGACCGATACCGATAATAAAAAAATCTTTACGCCACTAATTATTTTAACGCGATTAACGCATTTGTATTTTTTTTCCTCGGCCGCCCCGTAGTTTCAGAGCGCATCGAGTTTAAAATACCATCTACAAGCTGATGCTGACAGCCCCGCTCCTGTCGCCCGCTTGTGGCAGACCACACTTCCACGCTCACCGGCAGGCACCGACTGGCTGTTGGGAGGACCGGGAGGGTGTGTGTATGTGTGGCCAGAGCAAGCGAGAGAGAGACCTTACGTGCATTGTTGTTGTGAGCATCTGGTGCTAGCTAGCTGCGCTAACGGATATAAGGAGCTGTTTAAATGAAAACAGAGGAGCGACATTTCGCCACAACTGCGCCGAGCACTTGACTTTATGCAGGAAGCCAGACAGTGGGACATTGTACGAAAAGTGTGCGCAACATGATTGCAGCGTCCAGGCAGCTCCGGTTCGAGCATATGCCTTGAGTTGCGTCACAGCCAGGCATGAGTTAGGGAGCGCTGGATTTGTGAAAAACTCCCCTCTTCCTAAACCACTAATACCACAGTACTGGCAAAACGGGAGGAGCCGAGTGAAAAACAAGCGCCCCTCATCCCAATCCACCCACACCGCAGTATTTTTTTCTTTTTTTTTACCCAAAAAATATATTGTATATTATCGGGGCTATTAATACTGGTATCGGGATGACGTCATAATTCCTAATATCGGACAGATAATTATCGGGCCGATAATTATCGTGCATCCCTACTTCATTGTGTACTTTTTGAGTAACACCCTGTCAAACTCCCCTCCAGAGTACAATAATGTATGTTTTCTGCCATCTTTGATGAGAGATACAATTATTTTTTGCCATAAGTTCTCAGTAAAAGTGGTACTGCTGGACAGAGTACTACTTGGACTACTGCCACAAGTACAATAAAATACTTTTATCGTGTACTTTTTGAGTAATACCCCGTCAAACTCCCCTCCAGAGTACAATAATGTATGTTTTCTGCCATCTTTGATGAGAGATAAAATGATTTTTTGCCATAGGTTCTCAGTGAGACTGGTACTGCTGAGCAGAGTACTACTTGGAGTACGACCACAAGTACAATCAAGTACTTTTTGAATAATACCCTGTCAAACTCCCCTCCAGAGTACAATCATGTATGTTTTCTGCTATAGACCTGGTACAACGATAGCCACTTGGAGCTTAATGCTCTCAAGACAGTGGAGACTGTTGTGGACTTTAGGAAGAACGCAGCCCCACCCGCCCCCATCACCCTGTGTGACTCCCCAGTCACTGCTGTGAAGTCTTTCCGCTTCCTGGGCACCATCATCGCTCAGGAACTCAACAACAAATGGCCCAGATTTTTACTATAGAAACTCGAAATCTTGTAATGTAGGAAACAATTCACACTGGCTGCCATGTGATATAGGCTTTGTTTGCAATATTTATTCAACGGTCACTTCTTAGTTAAACAAATCTCAAATATAGATTTTAAATATATCAAATTGAGCATATCAATGAAAACTGTTTCACAGCAACCACATCCCCTGCTTTTTGGAAAAGTCTGGAGTCCCAGTCCCCAGCTGGTGCCTTTTAAAAAAAAATATAGGACATACAGCAACCTCATGTTTATGCACATACATTATTTGTCACACAGAGAGCAAACCCAGTCCCCAACTTGTGCCTCTTCAAGAGACTTTTGGTCCATATGCAGGCACTGTGTGTGGCACCACCGGAAACAGCTGTCACACTGAATCTGCAATAGGAGTGGAGACAAATTATAACCCTGCTTATACCAGCTTCGAGCAATGGTCAACTGCATCCCTCAAGTGTTTGCATTTAGTTTCTGCTTTCATTTAATGCTTTTCTACAAATCTAAATTGTGAAATATCTGAAGTCTCAATATTCATTAAACCTTATCCAGTCAGTGTGGGTGTGATGTGGCATTGAGCCGGGTGGTGTTATGCCGGCGCACATGGCACAGTTGACTTCTTTGTCAAACACTGATGAAAAGAAAATGCTAATGTTACATCTCAAGTACAACAATATCACAATTGAATTGACATTTTGAAAAAGTAGCACGCACCTGATGCTGTCAGTATTTCCATGGCCAACACTTTTCTTTGATGCGCCATCTCCTTTTTTGTGGTCCCAAAGGCCATTGTTGGTGTTTTAGGAAACACTTCCATGACCTCCTTTGCCATCTTAAAGTGATACACCATGTTATGTTGTTAAAATAACTATCCAACTACCCCAAATGTGTTTTTGTGAAAGGCAGTAAAACAGACTTAATCCTAAAAGCTGAAAGAATGTTGTATTAGCAAAAAGCATTTATGAAAAATAAATATTCCACTTACCATGCAGACAACTACCCCACAGCTATTGCCATCCTGCTGTACTGGGTGTTTCATTACTCCTCCCTTCCATTTTATGTCTTCCCAGTCCGTCTTACTGCAGCATTTTGAAGTAATCACTGCGTGAGATAAGATATATTATTAACGTACAATGCATACTGTAAAAATTAGGGCTGTCAAGTTAACGTGTTAATAACGCGTTAACGCAAAAAAAAATAACGCCACTAATTATTTTAACGCGATTTAACGCATGTGTATTTTTTTTCCTCGGCCGCCCCGTAGTTTCAGAACGCATCGATTTTAAAATACCATCTACAAGCTGATGCTGACAGCCCTGCTCCTGCCGCCCGCTTGCTGCAGACCACACTTCCACGCTCACCGGCAGGCACCGACTGGCTGTTGGGAGGACCGGGAGGGTGTGTGTATGTGTGGCTCGAGCGAGCGAGAGAGAGACCTTACGTGCATTGTTGTTGTTAGCATCTGATGCTAGCTAGCTGCGCTAACAGATATAAGGAGCTGCTTAAATGAAAACAGAGGAGCGACATTTCGCCGACGACTGCGCCGAGCACTTGACTTTATGCAGGAAGCCAGACAGTGGGACATTGTACGAGAAGTCAGCACACTCAGCACGGATAGTGCGCGCAACATGGTTGCAGCGTCCAGGCAGCTCCCGTTCGAGCATATGCCTTGAGTTGCACATAGCTCCAACGATCCATCTCTCACACACACACACACACACAAACACACACACACACACACACACACACACACACATACACACACCATTTTTATTGTATTAGGTTCCAGGTTGAATTGAGGCGAATATTTGTAATGTTCAGAAGTTGTTGTGTTTAATATTCATGAGAATATTTGTCATTGTTCAAATGATAATAAACATTAGCATAAAGCATATTTGTCCACTCATATGTTGATACGAGTATTAAAAACTTGAAAAATATTCCTCTCAGGTACATTTAGAACAGATAAAAAATGTGCGATTAATTTGCGATTAACTATTTGAATCGACTGACAGCCCTAGTAAAAATACAATACTCGCATAATAAAATAAATCCTTGTCACACTGTGTCTCAGCAGTCGAGTAACACAATTTGAAGTGATGTTAAAGCATGTTTCCCAAATGTATATTTTAAGATGTAACATGCAGACACCTAGTCTGATATCAAACTGAATTGACAATTGTTCACTCTAAGGACAGGTTGTTTATTCAGTGGGTTGGGTGTTATGGTATCATCGGTATGGACCAAAGTCAAACATGCACACATTTCCCACACATTATATGTTCTGGTGTCGTAGCACATAAAATAAAAAAACAAAAGGGCTGGTTTTGGCAATATAGCTGATCCATCTATTCCCACATAAATATAACAATACATCCATCCATCCATCCATCTTCTCCCGCTTATCCGTGGTCGGGTCGCGGGGTTAGCAGATCCAGCAGAGAGCCCCAAACTTTATTTTCCCTGGCGACATCAACCAGCTCTGACTGGGGGATCCCAAGGCGCTCCCAGGCCAGCGAAGATATATAATCCCTCCACCTGGTCCTAGGTCTACCCCTTGGTCTCTTCCCAGCTGGACGTGCCTGGAACACCTCCCTAGGGAGGCGCCCAGGTGGCATCCTAACTAGGTGCCCGAACCACCTCAACTGGCTCCTTTCGACGCGAAGGAGGAGCGGCTCAACTCCGAGTCCCTCCCTGATGACCGAACTTCTCACCTTATCCCTAAGGGAGACACCAGCCACCCTGCGGAGAAAACCCATCTCGGCCGCTTGTATCCGCGATATAACAATACATTTAAACATTATATGCCGGAATAGAATGAAATAAATATTTTTGAAAAATAGGTGAAATTGGATGCAGTTAGTACCTGAATTTGTTGGCAGCATTGTCTGACTCTGCCTGCTCTGCAGAGTTGCGTGCAGGATCTGCCAAATACACTGTGCTTTCTTCAGCATTGATGTTCTGTGGACACAGAAAAATAAATATATATTTTTGAAATAAACACAACATCTCCAAAAACTTGGCTGATCAAGAAATATACACTTATATGATATAGACACTACTAACCAGAAATGTCCAGTGTATACCGTCTACATGTACAAAGGACACAATGTGTTATAGCTGTCAAAGTGTATCTGTAATACATAGGACAAAACAACTTCCATTTCCCATCAGGCTGTATTTGTTTTCTTTATACAGTAGAGTCAAATAGCTTGATAGAGTATGTTTATATTTAGACAAAGACATAATGAAAACCTTTGTAGTTATCCTCAATAGAAACACAAGTTACCTTTGACAAAGTGTGCTTCCTGACCTTTTTTCCCAAAGAGGATCACACCAGCTGAGTAATGGTTGAGAATATAAATCCTCGTCCCCAGTTCATATTTATGTGCATGTATATGGAAAATACACTCGATGATCTGGAGAGAATGTCGACAAGCAGACATTAATAAGAAATACAATTGTATTAAATAATAAAGTAGTTGACAGGTGTTAAGTTTTGTTGATAAAAACAGAAAATTATAACAGTGAATTACCACATTTGACTACTTCTTCTAGTGTACAATAAAAGTTAAATATTCAACTGTGGATGCCTTTTAAGATTAACTTTTAAAAACAATTTAATACATTTTAGGCTTTGGGTGCTAACAAGACTTTAGTGGTGTGCCATGAAGCTAGCGTTACATGAATATTGGATTCATGTGTAGTGAAGAGACTTGGTATGAGCACTGGTTCTGTCCTATGATATGGATGAAATACCTCGCCTGTCAGCCACTGGTGTGGTCTAAGGGTCCGTATGTCAGAATGACGGATGGTAAAACTGTTGCCTCTTATTTGAGTGGGGACTACAGACACCACCACCTCGGTGTCCTTTTTTTTCCACAACGCGGTCATCACCCAAATCCCCTGACTATTCATCCAATCAGCGAGTTGAGGATCTTTCCAACGTCTGTTTCCGGTATTGTTCCTGTAATGAGAGTTCACATTTATGCTACATTGAAGGGTGGAATTGACTACACTTAAAGTTCAATCTTTCTTTCTTACAGTGCAGACGCTTTTCTGCTTGCTCTTGCCTCTGCTTATTTTTTATGCTGATTTTCCTATTCTTATTCTCTGAAAACTTCGAGCAGCGGCTCCTGGACATTAACTTATCACTGGGACAGTTCATCTTCGTAAATAGACGGAGGGTTTCAGCCATATTTCAAAATTTTTACGACGACCTCAGTCTTACAGTAGCGTGGCATTAGCAACAGCTAAAGCCTGGTAGGCTACTGCATGCTATTTAGCTTAAGCTAGTTGGTAGCAAAATGCCTCCGTTCTCTACAGATGACTTCCACAAACTTATACAGAAGATAGCTGTGTTGGAAATGAAAATGCAACGGTTGGAAGTTAACGTGGAAGTGAATGGACTATGTCATGGGAATGACACCACTTTACCAGTGTTGCAAAATAATGGAGAATGGTATGCTAACTCACAGCTAGTTAGCAGCTACAAGGATTCCAAGGAACAGGAGGGCTGTGTACCGGGTAATAAATCTACAAGTGGTAGTCCTCCCTGGAACTCTCTGGGTGCAAAGCCTAAGAGTAAATCATTTCCATGGGATTTGGGAGGACGGATAACAGGCAGAGCCCAGTGCTCTGCAATCTGTGATGCGACCGGCTGGCCTGCATTGTTATCACCCAGGAAGAGTGCCTCTTCAACCCCTATTCATACTAGGAAACAGCAGTGGACAGCTGCTAAAGGGAGAACTACAAAAAATCCTCCTAAACCACCAAGTGTGCCAATCCAGAACAGATACGCTCCGCTGACCGAGAACCGGAGATCTGATGACCTGGATAATCTGTCCTCGTCACACAGCCGGGTAAGGACCAATAGCTACTCCAAAAGTAAAAGGCTAGAGGGAAAGCTAACGACTGGGCCTGAAACTCTGATTGTGGGTGACTCTGCTGTAAGAGATGTAAAAGGTCTGTGTAATAAGAACAACACCAAAGAACTCTGTTTTCCCAAGGATGTGGTCTCTGACTTGGCTGAGAAGATCCTGCATATGGGGGCTGAACATCCGACTGTGAAGAATGTGGTACTGCACATTGGAACAAATGATGTTGTGAAACAACAGTCAGAAGTGCTGAAAGAAGACTTTAAATGTTTGTTGGAAACTGCCAGCTCTCTAAATGCAGAGGTGTTCATCAGTGCCCCTCTACCGCCAGTCAGAAGAGGAATGGAGAGATTCAGCAGATTGTTTGCACTGAATACCTGGCTTTCAACTGTCTGTACTGACCATTCTGTTCATTTTATTGACATTTTAACTTTTTCTGGGACCACAGACATCTTTTCAAGGCAAATGGAGTTTGCCTGAACAAGTCAGGAGTGAAATTGTTTATCTCTAACATATTCAACTTCCTGCGTTATCAATCTGTTCCCTCTGCCAAGGACAAGCGGCAAGAGGAATCAAAACAGGAGAAAGACACAACACATCGCGCAGAAAACCCTGAAGAATGATCACTGCACCCGCCTGAGGAATGTTCTGATTATGGGAGACACATGGAGGAGTCTCCACTGCCCGTCAACCCCCCCCTGTCAACGCCTTTGAGGATACTCCGTTCACCCTTTCACCCTCGCCCACCCTCCTGGGGATCGTTGAACACATGAAGGAGATACAGAGGGTTGGCACCGATTCCTTCCTGGAGTTCAAAGACCAAACTAAGGCGATACGCAGGGCTGGCACCATGTCCTTTACCCCCGCTCCTCAACGACGCCCACCAAAATCACAGCGGAGACGCTTCATCACCGTGCCTACGTCAACCACCTCCCCCCAGGCAGCATGTCCTCTACCCCCGCACCATCTCCCACGTCTCCATCACCGTGCCTGCGTCGGCCGCCTCCCCTCCCTTCGAGAGGGCATCTGCAGTCTCCGAAGCCTGATAAGGATGTGTGTGTACTAAACGCTGCAAACTGATATTTGCTGGGTCCAGGCTCAAGGACGTATGGCACTCTCAACTCTTTCCAGGACATGTCGGGGCCCTGCCTGCCTATAGCTTTGCCGATATCTGTGTTGATAGGT